GACACAGCGAGAGAGGGAACACAAGCAGGGGGAGTGGGAGAGGGAGAAGCAGGCTCCCCGCTGAGCAGGGAGCCCGATGCGGGGCTCAATCCCAGAACTCGGATCATGACCTGAGCCAAAGGCAGACGCTTAACGACCGAGCCACTCAGGCGCCCCTCTGTGTTTCACTTCTACCACTCCTGATCTGTTGTCCTTCCTCTCTTCCCCAGAGGTGAAGTTTATCCATGTTATTATATGTTATTCTTATGCATTTTTTTTGTATTTTTACTACACAGACATTTATTGATAGTCAATATATGGCAGTAGTCTATGTGTTAGTAACATATACACATATATATGGAATCCTATTGTATATTATAATTCTGTGACTTTTTATTGCCCCCCATATTATGCTGTTGAAAATCATTCAGGTGAATTTTGTGGGTCTAGCTCATTCCCCGTGGTATAGAATTCAGCTATTAGCCATACCACAGAATATTGCTCAGCCCCAAAAAGGAATGAAGCACCATGACATGCCACAACATGAATGAACCTTGAAAACATTATGCTCAGTGAAAGAAGCCAGTTACAAAAAGCCTCATAAATACTGTAGGATTCCATTTCTTTGAAATGCCCAGAATAAGCAAACCCTCAGACACAGAGAGCAGATTCATGCATGCCAAGGGGCTGAGGGAAAGGAGAATGAGTATGGGGGTGTTTTTTTTTTGGTTTTTTGTTTTTTTTGCTGGTGACAGAAATGTTGTGGAATCAGAAACCGGTGATGGTTGCACATCCTTGTGAATATACTTTTTTAAAAAAACGCTGAATTTGATGCTTTAGAAGCAAAGATTTTATGGTATGTGAATTATATCTCAATAAACCAAATGTGTAAAAAGAACTGGTTGGATGCACCAACCATGGCTTCTCTTTAATTCTTTCCTCGACGGCTAGATGTTTGGGCTCTTACTGGGGCTATGTTATCAGCAAAATGCTACAATAGACATCCTGTTCACAAGTGTGATCTCTCGGTGGCATATTTAGAAGTAAAACCTGTATTTTGTGATGTCCACATCTTTAATCCCACTAGGAGAGCCAAACTGAGAACTAAGGTAGTTTTCCCTATTTATACTTCCACCAGGGATGAATAAGTTCCCAGTTCCCCACGTCCTTGCCAATTCAGAAATATATTAAACTTGATAATTTTTGCTGATTAAAATAGATGAACTCATAACCCACTTTAAGCTGCCTATATAAAGATATCTCATGGTTGCTTTAATTTGCATTTTCCTGATTATGAGTGAGGCTTATTGACCATTTGGGGTTTCTTTTCTGTAAACTGATGATTTGTACCCATTGTTCACTTTCCAGCTGAACTGTTGGTCTTTTCCTTTCTGATTTTTATATATATAGCAGGCACACCTTTCCTTTGTAAGCTGTGTGCTGCAAACATCTCCTTGAAGCCTGTGACATATTTTCATTCCTTCTGTATCTTTTAATGTTAGCTAGTCAAAGTAATTCATCTTTTAATTTATATGTTGAGGGACTTCTCATTGTCTTGACTAACTTTACATGATGAATACACTCTCCTATATCTTCTAAATTAAAATGTTTTAATTTTGTTTTTCATATGTAATGCATCTGATATTAATTTTTGTCTAAGGTGTGAGGTAGGGATCTAATTTTTCCACTTGGATAACCAACTACCCTAATACCCTTTATTGAAAGACCCGTTCCTGATGAAATATGCTCACTTCTATTTCATCGGCACTGCCTTCCATTATTAGCGTACTTCAAACTCTTGGATGGAAATGACGAAAGGAGAAACTTGATTTGAAAAGACTTGAAAACAATAAAGAAAAAGGTGGGACACCTGGCTGGCTCAGTTGATAGACTCCTGGGGTTGTGAGTTCAAGCTCTACCTTGGTTGTAGAGATTACATTTTTTTTAAAGATTTATTTATTTATTTATTTATTTATTTATTTAAGAGAGAGAGAATCCACATGCATGAGAGAGGGAGAGAGAGAATCTCAAGCAGGCTCCCCAAGGAGCACGGACCCTGACATGGGGCTTGATCTCAAGACCCTAAGATCAGGACTTGAGCAGAAACCCAGAGTCAGATGCTTAACCAACTGAGCCACCCAGGTGTCCCTAGAGATTACATTAAAAAAAAAAAAAGAGGGAGGGAGGGAAAGAAAGAAGAAACTGAGTCATGTAAACTAACTAAGGAAAAGACAGAACTAGAGATACCTCAGACAATTACATCCACAGGCTCAAATATCATTTAGACTTTTCCTCTCTGTATCTCTCATCCCTGTTTCTATTTCTGTGTTATCATTATTATTCAGACCAGCTGTCCTGAGGAGTCTGGGACTGACAGTGACAATTCTAGGCTCACAGCCTTGCAGACTTTTAGCCAAAGAGGTAAGGGGGGTTTTCACTTACTGGATCAATTTAGAAAAAGATATTACTGGCTACCTTTGGAACATGCTAGAAACCCACTCACAAAAGACTTAAGCACAGAGGAAAGAAATCAAGCATTTATCTTGCCTTTCATTTATAACCAATACGTTAGCACAACCACAGAGCTGAGGAGGCCAAGCTTCTACTTATACATTACTACAACTAATACATAAAGAAGAAAACCTCCAAGACTATCTTTGGCTAATGCATGCCCACCTTATCAGGAATAATAACAGAGGATATGGTTTAGCATCTTTCATCCATGTATCTACACGGTAGGTAGAAAACCCGGG